CATCAAGGTGCCACTAACTCGTTGTAAGTTTCAAGGTAAAACTGCCTCGAGTGGGCTCGTCTAGTATCAATATTGTTGTTGTTGTCGTTGTTGTTGCCCGAGAACATCCCCAACAGCCTACGTGTGTTTTTCATGTTGTTATCTCTATTCTACTAGAGTGAAGCCGGTTTAATAAAAAAAAAAATCACCTGCCTTGCTAGCACAATGATCCCTGGAGGCTACATGTAAAAATGGTAAGCAAGAATCATTAATTGCTGGCGTTGTCGTGGTCCCTCTGCCTGGGGGGTGCGTATAGGTACAGGGTAGTTGGTCACGTTGCTGGGCCAACAATCGCCGCAACCACATTGTTTGGATCCGTCGCTCCCGTCCGCAAGCTCCATCAATGAATGCCATCCCCCACCCACCAAAGACACACCTGGCGGTCAGCAATCCAATAATTGTCGAGCTAGCCCACCCCAAACAGCTATCTGAGCTTCGATCCATCCACTCTGTCGTATCCTATCTCCAGCTGCGACTTCAGTCTCTGGCTCATTGAATCGCACACACTAAACCGCACGAGACATACGCAGCCTGTCCTCTACAGCTAGCTGCCTCGCTTTTCGTCGCATCTCCATCCTCCTTTACCAAGGAATTGGATCGTCGTCTAGCTAAGCACATACCAGCCATTCAACCCAGCATTCCAATACTCAGTCACAATGGACGGTCCATCGAGACCGCCCGACTACAGCCTGCCGCTGTACGGCGACGACCAAGACACACCCACCGGCCACAATCCCGCCGCAGTAAGGTTGTTGACCTCAGTCGACGAGCCTTACCATGAATCTCCTCCGTATGTAACCTACCCGCCCAGCTCACAACTCCCAGACATAAACCACAAGACACCTCCTGCTCCCGAATCACTAGAAGCTGGGAAAGCAAGCGTGCCTTCATCAACGGATGAGAAGCAGCAGGGAGACCCCAAACTTTCAACCAACACCTCCTCTACTACTGACAATAAGTCTATGCACAAGAAACCCCTTCCTCGGCAAGTGTCTGTAAAGTTACAGAGACGGGCAAAGACATCCCACGTTGCATTTGCCGAGTTCGTGGAAGAGCTTCCTATCATCCCGGACGGACCCAGCGAGCGGCGCAAGTTGCGTCAGTCAAGCGGGTGTCCTCCAAGCCCTCTGACGAACCCCAATTACAATCCTACCACGGCCGCAGTGCCAGTATCAGACACCCACGATACAATGAAGGGACAAAGTGTTAACCGAGACCATGGTCTCCCCAACAGAGAACGACCCCGACCACAGGGCGGCAGAAGCTACCAACCCAGTACCATTACATCAAACCTATCAGGCGGATCATCATACATCAGTTCAATCAACCCCAGCTCCCTTGGCTCAGGGTCCATCATAGACGATGCTCCCAGCATGCCTCATCCAGACTCGACATACGTCCCTTTTGCTAGTCGTGCTCGAGAGGGCTCTCCTACCAGGCCCTGGACTCCCTCCTCACGCTCATCCGAATACACACGCCCACCTGCTACCAACCTCTCATACGAGCCCTCAGATCTCAATGGTAGCCCACGACCTGGAACCCCTTCTTCAAGATATGGCGGCAGCCCTCGTCGTCCTCTGCCTCCGGCTCCCCTTTTCTCAACCAATCGAGACAACCGCCATGGGGGCGACCTAGGAGCCGATGCCACTGTCAATATTCCACTCCATGACGATGACGACGACGACGTCTTTGGCCCAGATTCAGACTTGGGCAGCCGCTCCCGTCCGATACCCATGGACCGCGCTTCATATACCTCGTCCAACCCGACTCTCAACGACGAGGACGACCCCGAATTCTACGATGAGAAATCAGCAGCAGATTTCGAGCATTATGGCCCAGCTCCCGACGGCGCCCAGGAGCGTCGTGGTGTACGCGCACCTCAGATGTCAAGAAAGGAGGTCCAGCTGATCAATGGTGAGCTGGTCCTCGAGTGTAAGATCCCAACTATCCTGTACAGTTTCCTGCCTCGCCGTGACGAGATCGAGTTTACGCATATGCGCTACACGGCTGTGACGTGCGACCCGGATGATTTTGTAGACAAGGGCTACAAACTGCGTCAGTGCATCGGGCGCACGACTCGTGAGACGGAGCTGTTCATCTGCGTGACCATGTACAACGAGGACGAGATTGGCTTCACGCGAACCATGCACGCCGTCATGAAGAACATCTCCCACTTCTGCTCCCGCAACAAGTCCCGTACTTGGGGCGAGACTGGATGGCAAAAGATCGTTGTATGCATCATCTCGGATGGACGTGAGAAGATCCATCCCCGTACCCTCGATGCTCTCGCCGCCATGGGTGTCTACCAGGACGGTATCGCCAAGAACTACGTCAACAACAGAGCTGTCCAGGCCCACGTTTACGAGTACACCACACAAGTGTCCCTCGACTCTGACCTCAAGTTCAAGGGTGCTGAGAAGGGTATTGTCCCCTGCCAGATGATCTTCTGCCTCAAGGAGCGCAACCAGCGCAAGCTCAACTCCCACCGTTGGTTCTTCAACGGGTTTGGCAAAGCTCTGAACCCCAACGTCTGCATCCTGCTCGACGTGGGTACCCGTCCAACCAGCAACTCGCTGTACCATCTCTGGAAAGCCTTCGACACCGACTCCAACGTCGCCGGTGCCTGTGGTGAAATCAAAGCCATGAAGGGTCGCATGGGCGCTAACCTCCTCAATCCCCTCGTTGCCTCTCAGAACTTCGAGTACAAGCTGTCCAACATTCTGGACAAACCCCTCGAGTCCGTCTTTGGTTACATTACTGTGCTTCCCGGTGCCCTCAGTGCCTACCGTTACCACGCTCTGCAGAATGATGAGACTGGTCATGGTCCATTGAGTCAGTACTTCAAGGGTGAGACTCTTCATGGGCAGCATGCAGATGTGTTCACAGCCAACATGTACCTTGCCGAGGATCGTATCCTCTGCTGGGAGTTGGTGGCCAAGAGAGATGAGAGATGGGTGTTGAAGTACGTGAAGAGCTGCAAGGGTGAAACTGACGTGCCTGGTAAGTGAACCAAACCTATCCCGTTTGGAACATACCATTCAGATTTGCTAACAACCATCAGACTCCGTTCCCGAATTCATCTCTCAGCGTCGAAGATGGCTCAACGGTGCCTTCTTCGCCGCCGTCTACTCCATCGTCCAGTGCCGACAGATTCTCGGCACTGACCACACCATCGCCCGCAAGGCCCTTCTCTTCATCGAGATGGGCTACCAGTTCATCCAGCTCCTCTTCACATTCTTCTCCCTCGCCAACTTCTACCTCACCTTCTACTTCGTCGCCGGCGGTCTCAGTGATGCCAGAGTAGATCCCTTTGGCCACGGCCTGGGCAACATATTCTTCATCATCCTCAAGTTCACCTGTATCCTCCTCATCAGCACGCAGTTCATTCTCTCGCTTGGTAACAGACCCCAGGGCTCTAAAAAGCTCTATCTGACCTGTTTGATTCTGTACTGTGTCATCATGGTTTACACGTCCTTCGCCATCATCTACATCGTGATAAAACAATTCACATCTGGAGATAACGAGATCAGTATAGGTAACAACGTATTCACCAACCTCATCGTCTCCGTCGCCTCAACTATTGGTCTCTACATCGTCATGTCTCTAGTCTATCTCGAACCCTGGCATCTCATCACCTCGTCCGGCCAGTATTTCCTCCTCCTGCCCTTCTACATCTGCTCCCTCCAGGTCTACGCCTTCTGCAACACCCACGACGTCACATGGGGTACAAAGGGTGACAACGTCATCCGTACCGATCTCGGTGGTGCTATCGGGAAGGGTGAGACGGTCGAGCTGGAAATGCCCAGCGAGCAGCTAGATATTGACTCTGGGTACGACGAGGCTCTGCGAAACCTGCGTGATCGTGTTGAGGTCCCAGAGCCGCCCATCAGCGAGGGCCAGATGCAGCAGGACTACTACAAGAGCGTGCGAACATACGTGGTGCTGGTCTGGCTCGTCTCCAACGGCCTGCTCGCCATGGGCGTCTCCGAGGCATACGGTAGTACCGGCATCGGAGAGAACTACTATCTGAGATTCATTCTCTGGAGCGTGGCAGGCCTCGCCTTCTTCCGCGCCGTGGGCTCGGCGACATTCGCCATCATCAACGTCGTCAACATCATCGTCGAGGGCCGCGTCAGGATGAGCCTGTCCGTACCCAAATGGATGGGAGGATGGATGGGAGGGTGGAGCAGCAAGGTGACAGAGACAATGAGCAGTGTGGGCAGCAGTATCAGCAGCTCCGTGCCCAGCAGATTTAAACGATGAGAGAGATGTTTTGTTTGGAATTTGTTTTTTGAATGATCCAAGTTAGATTGCTCTTTATGTTTTCCTCTATGATCCGGCTAGATTGCTCTTATGAATACCGGCGCTGGTTACACGTAAGGAGTTTTTTTCAACATGTGGAAAAGGCGTTTTGTGGGAGTTTTGGTTTGGATCGATCGTCTTATTTTGAAACGGACTTTCTACATGTAGGGGGGTTTATTCGCTTTGCTTGACACGTCACATGGAGATGAACATGAATAGATGGGGTCATTTTTAATGAAAAGATTTGGTTTTTACGTTCCCATGGATATCCTCAACATCTGGTGCGTGACTTACCCATGTATATAACGCCCTGTCAACCTTTCATAGCCAGACTAGGGGTAAATACACAATGGTATTGCTACAAATATCGCCTTCTTCGTATCATGAGTTTGTTCTTGTGCAGTTATTCATGTTTTTTGACTTGAGCCTGAGAAAAGCAAGTGACGCCGCGAGTGATTATGTATGTTTACCAATGTAATTTTCTTTTCAACTGAATATATTCAAAATCTCAGAAGAGAAGAAAATGTGACTTTTTAACATTCTATATGTTATATACATATGTAGAGTAAGGAATATGTCCCACCAAATGCGCCGGCCAAACATGGGATATGCCTAGAATAAATGAAACCCCTGAACTGATCGTCATCACGTAGCTATGCTCATTCCTCGTCCTCTTCTTCCTCTTCGGCAACCTAGATTGAATTGTTAGTCTTTGGCTCATTGAAACAGAGATTTAGAATGGATGACCTACCCCGTCGTGGAAGTTCTGGCCATCGGTCGTGGCCTTGATTACTCCGCTCCTGATACAGAAGTCGCCAAAGCGCTCCCCCTCCTCTCTCTCAAGCGAGTATCGCTTCAGGAGTGGCTTCATGATCTCCAGGATCTCTTCTTCCTTGATGCTTGCTCGGTAGAGCTTGTTCAGGCGCTGGCCGTGATAGCCGCCACCGAGGTACATGTTGTACGCGCCGTAGGCCTTACCGACGAAGGCGACCTCAGCAAGCCAAGGGCGAGCGCAACCGTTGGGGCAACCGGTCATGCGCATGACAATGGAGTCCTGGCTAAGACCATTGTCCTCAAGGCAAGACTCCAGCTTGGAGATGAGGACGGGCAGGTAACGCTCAGACTCAGCCATGGCAAGACCGCAAGTGGGGAAAGCAACACAGGCGGAAGAGCTGAGACGGAGACCGGAGAAGGAGATGTTGTCAAGCTTGTACTTCTTCAGCAGCTCCTTCATGGCGGGGAGGTCCTCGTCAGCAACATTGCTGAGGATGACATGCTGGTTACCGGTCAGACGGAATTCACCCTTGTGGACCTTGGCAATCTCCCTGAGACCAGTCTTCATCTGGAACTCAGGAGTATCTTCAATACGACCGTTCTCGATGAACAGGGTGAAGTGGTTCAAGCCGGTCTCGTCCTTGACCCAGCCGAAGGTGTCGACGTTGCTCTTGAACTCGAAAGGACGAGGAGCACCGAACTGCTTGCCCCAGAGCTCTTCAACCTTGCTACGGTACACATCGACCGTCATATCGTCGATGGTGTACTTGAGACGAGCGTGCTTGCGGTTCTTACGGTCACCGTTATCGCGCTGGACAAGCATAATCTTCTCGCAGACAATGTGAGCATCCTCCACAGAGACGAAACCGAACATTCTACCGGTCTGGGGGTAGGTCTTCTTGTTGTTGTGGGTAGCACCCATACCACCACCAGCAAGAATGTTGAAACCAGCAAGGCCACCGTCTTCGCCCTTGATAGCAATCAGACCGATATCGTGTGCGTACACATCGGTATCATTGTGAGGAGGAACAGCGATGGTGATCTTGAACTTTCTGGGGAGGTAGGTGGGACTGTAGAGGGGCTCAAAGTCTTGGACAGCGTCGCCGGCAATCTGAGTCTTCTTGTCATCGTCATCTGTGAGCCAAATTTCGTGGTAAGCAGTGGTCGATGGCAAGAGGTGGTCACTGATCTTCTGGGAGACGGTGTGAACTTCTCTGTGCAGCTTTGACTTTGTGGGAAGCGAGCTGCACATGACGTTTCTGTTGACATCACCGCAGGCGGCAATAGTGGTCATCAAAGCACGGTTGATGGCTTGCATGGCAGGCTTGAGCTTGCCCTTGACCACACCGTGGAACTGGAAGGTTTGGCGAGTAGTAAGCTTCATCGTCTGGTTTCCGAGGGTGTTGGCGATGTCGTCCATCTGGACCCACTGCAGAGGAGTAGAAACACCACTAGGAAGACGGCATCGAATCATGAAGGAGTAGGCAGGCTCCAAGCCCTGGGCCTTGCGCTCATCACGAACATCACGGTCATCCTGCATGTAGGTACCATGGAACTTGGTGAGCTGGCCGTCAGCTGCGGAAATGGCGCCAGTGGTAGGGTCGTTCAATCCCTCAACGATGGTACCACGGAGGTAGTTGGAGGCCAACTTGATATCCTCGTTGGTGATTGGGGGAGGCTCATCGGGAAGACCATCGACGTTGTCCACGCCAAGGGCTTGCCAAACCTTGGGCTCCCAGTCAGCATAGCCGGTCTGGTAACCATCAGGATCCTGGTCATCACCAAGGCCTACATCGGCCAGGTGCTTACCGCCGAGATTAGTCAAAAGACGGTCCAGATCCTTGGCGGGCTTGTTGTAGAAGATCCTGTCTTCCTTGCGAGGCCAGTAGTGGCTGTCACCCAGACCGAAGATGGAGTAGTTCACGGTAGCGAGGTCCAGATCGGTGCTGTCCTTGATAGCATCCCAGAATGGCAGACCGTTCTGTGGGAACTCACCCTGACCAGCAGTGGAGGTGATAAAGACAATGTTCTCCTCAGAGGGGAGGTCCTCAAGAGGATAGTCTTCCATAGCCAGGACAGTAGTCTTGAGGCCACGAGCACGTCCCCGGTTGCCGAGACGCTTGGCAACGTTGGTAGCGTTACCGTTGTCAGAGGCGAACAGGATGGTAAGAGGAGCCCCGAGGAGGCCTTCAAGCAGCTGGGCGTATGCATCCTTAGCCTTGCGCTTCTGCTGAGCTCGAACTTCAGTTCCGAAGTCCTGGGCCAAACTGGCAGCAAATTGAGGCTCCTTCTTCATCAGTTGAGTGAGCTGGTTGTCTCGGGCAAGGAATGTCTTGAGTTCCTGCTTGATCAACTCAGAGTCAAGAGAGAAGTTGGGCTCGCCCTTCTTCTCGTTCTCGGGGTTCCATCGGTACAGAGGCCAGTAACCGGCATCGACAGCCTTCTTGGTCTCCTGGAGAACTGTAAGGGGAGAGTCACTCTCTCCAAAGTATGGTAGGTAAGCCAGGACGACCGAGGGACCGTTGAACTTGTCGGCCTCCATCAAGGCCTGGAGAACCTGGGTGTACGAGCTGTAGACGGCAGTAGAGGCGACATAGACGTTGCCGAAGTTCATGGCGTACAAACCAATGTCCTTCTTACGGCGCTCGGCATCGGCGGCGGCCTTCTGGGAGTAGGGGGTAGAGTCGATGATGAGCATGTTGACGTTCTCTCCGGAAGCCAAAACATGGTGGACACCCGAGTTTCCGAGATCGTAGGCCCAAGCATCGGAACCAGTCAGCCAGAGCGACTCCTTACGGAACAGGCTCTTGTTGGCAAGGAGCTTCTGGGCCAGGGGCGAACCGTCGGTCTGAAGACGGGCGATGACATCGTCAGCGGTTTCAGTTGACTTGGAGACATCATCAGCGTTCACGGCCCAGCGTGCCAGGAACTTGGATGGAGCATCAGTGATAAACTCCTTGCTGGTAGCGGCGGCCTTGGCCTCAGAAACGAATCGGGAGCGGAGCTCCTTGCGAGCCAACAGGGAACCGAAACCGAATTCGGGGCTGGCTGCGACTGTTGCCGAGATACCAGCGTTCTGCGACTTCAGAGCGTTTGCGACGTAGGTCCTACTGCCGAAGAGCTGGTCCAAAATCTTAGTGTATGCGGTCTCAAGAGCGGGGACCTCAACACCGTACTCAGTCTTCTCTTCAGGAGCGTCCCTGACGCCAACCTCGAGGTTCTGGATGGGCTTGTCGGAGGTCAAGTTCTGGAAGATACCTCGGAGGGCTTGGCCAATGACTGCAGGGTCCACATAGCCCAACTGGTAGCCAACAATGTGCTCAACGCCACCAGGGCCGCTCTTAATAGAGGTCAGGACATCGATCAAGAGAGGTCCCCACTTCGTGGTCTTGCGGCGGATCTGCTCCAAGACGGCAATCCTCTTGACAGACTGGGGCAGGGAATCGACAAAGTTGGTGCCAATCCAGGGCCTGTAGAGTCGAGGGGTCAGGATACCAGCCTTGGCGAAGACCTCGTCACCCTTGGCGTTATCAAGGGCTTCACCAAAGGTCCCAACATCAGTGCCAAAGATGAAAAGGCAGTTGGCAGCATCAGCAGGGCCAGAGTACTCAAAGGCGCTGTATGATCGGCCAACAGCAGCGTGGAGCTGGCTCCAGATGCTAGAGGCAGTGTCGTAGATGTCCTGAGAAGTAACCTGGGGAGGGGCGAACTCGACAGTAGTGGCAGCAGAGCCGGGTTGTGATTCGCCTGACTCGCTCACTTGACTAGACTTGACGGAAGTTCCAGCAGAAGCAACCTTGGAAGCCACGGCGCTCGCAGGGACCTGGAGGCCGGAAGCCTTGGAAGCCTCGGTACTGACTGGAGGCTCAGGATTTGCGGACAGAACGGCCGAGTGGCCATCGTCGGCATAGATTCCAGAAGTGGCGATGCTAGCGGCCTGGAACCTCCTTACACTCTCAATATCGACGACGGATCTGACAGCCTCGACGTCAATGGAAATTGAAGCATCCTGGGCCGAGGTCTCGGGGGCAAAGAAGTGAATTACACCCTTGCCTGTGCGAATGGCGAGCGCATGGGCAGAAACAGCCATATCCTGGGCCTCCTGCAGGGTCTCGGAGTGCAAGAAGGTCCATCCCGAGTTCCTAATGGAGGTGATGACAGAGTAGTCGGCGTGTTTTCGGGGTTCGAGAGAAACATGGAGGACAACGGGGTAGTTGGCAAGCTTGTAGAGGTGAGAGATGGAAGGGATGAGAATAGAGGCAGGCGTCGTCACAGAGACGAGCTTGCCCGAGCGGATGGGGGCGTAGACGGAGAGAAGAGGATCGGCGTTGTGCCGAACAGATTGGATCTCCGGAACCCCATTTGCGGCGACGATGCCCTGGTCATTGCGGCCGGCATAACGCTTCAGGTGGGAGGAGAAGGCCGAATCGACAGCCAGCGAAGGCTGGACAGAGACGACGACATCGCTAGCGAGGTATGCGATTCTTGACACTATACAGGGACCCAATTAGCATCGAATTGAATTCCATCGACCATGTTTGAACTGGAAACAGATTGGTGGGGTTCTGGAAGGCGAGGGTGCTGAGCAATTCGGATTTCCCTCACTCGCAGCGCTGGCGAGGTGGCCGTCCTGGCCCTGCGGTAGCTCCGACTGCGCTGGAAATTTTTGGAGGGGTGTTTTTTTTTTTGGAGGGGCATCAGCAGCATATGTGCCGAAGTTCAGATGCGTGTAAGTGAAGGGAGATGCAAGTGATCAAGCAGTACTTACCAGCCTCTTCAGGCGTGACAACCTTGTGTGAAGCAGCAGTCTCCATCTTGCCGTCACTCACGGAGCTTGATCGGAAGAAGAAAGACATGATGGGAATCGTGCCTCCAGACGAGAAGTTGGTATTATAAAGGGCTCCGCTGGCGTCTCTCGGGCCGGTGCCTGGGTCAGCAGTCTTTCGCCAGCACGTCGACGGCTCACGGCGACCAGAGCGAGGAGGGAATTAGGGAAAAAATGCCTTCCAGATGGCGAAATCTACTCCACATAATCACATCGGGACCCTCATGAGAACCTGGAGCGGGAAAAAATCAAAGTTTAGAAGGGCCCCCGCAAACCAATTCCAAGCTGTGTGGTAGGCTGGAGGAGGAGGGATTGCGTGATCGACCTAGCGCTGGCAACGTCTGGGAAGGCCTCGGCGAGGACGCTCCTGCTGCCATTACGAATTGCTGCCGCCGGATTCGCAGGTCTCAGCCGGTTGGGTCGCTTGGACAACCCCACAGGCCCCTACGTCCCCTATGCGCCGCTGCGACACAGCGCTGTCCACGGAGAGGTCACCGATGGCTTGCACCCTGCATTCGGCCGTGGTTGATCCGACTGCCGGAGCTGTTCAAAGTCCTGTGTCCCGACAGGCCGGTGATGGCACCATTCAACTACCGGATCCACTGCACGCATTCCGATGCCCGCATGATTGGCCTGTTGACCGCCAGGGACGGATCAACAGTCCTCGAGTCGTGGCATGACTGGATACATTATTAGCAAGCAACACGAAGGGGATGGGGTTTCGGCGTTTCGCTTCGGGGCTGTCCCGGCGTTGGATACTCTAGTGCGTAGCGAGCTGCTGAGTAAGGGTCCGGGTCACTGGGCTTCGGTATAATATGATGTCGACATTGCTATATATTATTCTAATATAGTCTATGTATTGGCTGGATTATGCATAAGTCCCTATGGTCGAAAAAACGGCTCCCTACCCAAATTCATCGCAGTGCATAAAAAAAGACCCGGAAAAAAGCCACTTTCAACGTCCCCAAACCCCTAATTCACCCAACATCTAGCTCTCAAGTCACATCAGACTTCTTCAGTATACAACGCAGGGCCCGCCTTAGGGACTCTCTCTCCGGCCCATCCCTCGTCGTGCTGCTTGTGGTCAAGCCAATAACCCCTGCCGATCGAAACCATCATTCTGCCGAGAGAGCCTCTTCGTCCCTCGCCATCTGGGAGTTCGGCGGCAAATGGGCCATCCTTGTTGTCATCCACCATCACATCAGGTCCGGCCTCCAGGATCATCAGCTGCATGTACTTCTGCAGCACCTGCTGGGCGTATGCCATGATCACCACGCAGAAGTAAACTCGGATCAAGGTAAGGAGGATGATCAGGACCATGCTGGCAGCTGTCTCGTGGGGGACAGCGGCGCCATGAAGGGCGGTCTGCTCCTTCAATGTCTCAATACCCTCCGCAACAATGTCGTTGACATTATCCGCGCTATCCGAAGCTCCTGTGGCAAAGTACCACTCGAGGCCAAAGGCGGCAGTATCGAAGGTGTTGATGATCGTATCGAGAATGTAAACCCACGCCAGCATCAGACATTCAAACGGGCTTTGTTTTCGGATGTGTGGGATGAGAAAAGCGAGTGCGACCAGCACGGCAATCGAATAGAGGTAGGTCGTAAACTGCAGGAGTGACAGCTGGAAGCCCGTAAGAATTGCCAGCAATCCGTAGAATCCGGTCACTTTGTTGAACACCAGAGCGAGAGAAATCAGTTCCGTCGCTGTCTGCAGGCTGATGAAGCCAAAGAGCGTCTATATTGAACGGCCTGTCAGCGGCCGAATTCTCGATGGCATCATTTGGGTCGCTGGTGCGGTAAAAACTCACCTTAGGGCGAGGAACCCTCAAGTACAGGCTGGTGAATCGTGACATGCTGGCAGATGTGGTTCCAGGTCTTGGTTCAGAATGGATAGCAAGGAGTGAGACCACAGCCAGGAGGGAATTCGGGGGTTAAAGGCAGCACGCGACAAGGAAATCCTGCATTGGTGACGTCGGAAATTGATCCTTGGCTCTCCTCGTCTGATTAAACGGGCCCCACCTCGAGCCGGAGGTACCGGTCACCTTAAAACCAACGTGAAATACGGATACGTCCATAACGTAAGAATCATCACGTGCAGTCAGCAAGGCTACAATCCCCCGGCAATAACACCCTTCCGTCAATTGATCGGCCTGTACTAAAAACCGAAAGCCCGGTCATTTGGGTCGCGACTTGGGATTCAGGTGTTCTTGAACAAATAGTATGTAGCGATCGTAGTCTCGTTTCTTCTTTTGACCGTATTATACAAGTCCCATGATCAGCCCTCCCGCTATGCTGGATATCCTACTAAGGACATGAGCCCCCATTACTTGTTGTATCATGTCTGTTCCGTATAAATGCGTTATGCGTCGGCGCAACAGTGCCAACCAACTTCAACAAGCGCAGCCCTCCTGGTTGGCAGGCGTGTTGTTTGTCTTGACATCAATCACTATGCAAGTGTGAGCAATTTGGGCTGCCGCATAATGAATCAGGGATAACAAGGGGGCGACTTACTCTGGCTTGATGCTTGAGCTGCTGCATCAGAGCCCTCCATTCCGGGCAATGCCTGTGCTATCCTCTTGAACAGATTCTTAACGTTGTGGCCAAGCTTCGCGCTGGTCTCCACAAACATCAAGTTGTTCTTCTTGGCCTCGTCCTCTCCTTGCTGTGTCGTAACCTCTCGCTTCTCGTTCAAATCCGTCTTGTTGCCAACCAGAACAATGATCACATCGTTTCCTCGCTCGGCTCGGACATCGTCGATCCACTTCTTGGTGTTCTGGAAGGACTTTGCGTCTAGAATCCTGTTAGATTATGCGAACAGGGCGAAGCGGCATCTCGGAGCTCTTGCATACTGGAAATATCATACACCACAACCGCCACGCTGGAATCTCGAATGTATGAAGGGATCAGACTTCTGAATCGTTCCTGGCCTGCGGTATCCCATAGCTGTAATCGTACTGTTCTGTCCTCCAGGTACATAGTCTGCTCCGTAGTTAGCCCCTGAATGTCGAATCGTGGTCTGGTGCCGGGTCAACCTTTGAGAGGAAATCGATACCGATCGTAGCCTGATACGTGTTGTCGAAGGAGTCGTACATGAACCGCGTGATGAGAGATGTCTTCCCCACTGCAGTTTGCAATCAGCATGTGCTTTGCGCCAGGTCATAAATAAAATATCACATACCACTCTGCTCGCCCAAAAACACCAGCCTTAAAAATTGCCAGTCAGTACCATTGGCCTAGGCGGTCAGGGAGCTTGAACTTACTTGAATTTCTTCAAGGGGTTGTTGTACGATCCCGCCTGCGCCATCTTGACAGCTAACCTTTAACAGCCCCTGGGATAACAAGTAGAATGATGAGAGTCAAGGGGGTGGGATCCGGTCAAATCGGTGATCAAAAAAAGGTCGCCGATATCTATATTCGAAGGGAGAGAGAGGCTGTATCCCAGGCACCTTTTTGGAGTGTATGGTAGATGATCCAACATCAATCGGTCCAGGAAAGGGGATTAACTCGGTGACGCTTCACGTCTATGGAAGGTACTAAACGAACGTATTAGCTTGCACGTGGTCGCACAACAAAACGGAAACCCAGATCAATACGGTCAACTCCGTAATTAACCACAGCCACATACGGATTGATAGCTATCGATAAGGAAAGTGGATGCTCAGATAACCAAGAGCCTGAAATCTCCACTAAAAAATTGGAAGAATTGAAGACCGTCCCCCACCACATGCAAAGTTGAGCATCCATACTTGGGCCAATTTTCAGGGTACTTTGAATTGAAAGTCGTCAAGATGCCTGTGGTCAAGTCATCTGTCTCGGGGTCCGTTGACGCCCCCAAGACGTTCAATCAGCCGTCGCGAAAGGGAAAGAAGGCATGGAGAAAAAACGTCGATGTTACGGAGGTTGAGGAGGGTCTCGAGGAATTGAATGAACAAATCATTAGCGGGTAAGGTTTCTCGACGCCAAAGTCTTCACGTCTTACGGTTCTCTAACCCAATATCTACAGTGGTGTTATCAAGGAGAAGGAGTCCGCGGAACTCTTCACTCTCGACCTAACTGGCGATGCGTCGATTCCCAAGAAATTCCCCAAGCACGTCAAGAAGGGGCTGAAGGCAGACGAAATCCTCGCTCAGCGATCCTCCGTCCCTGCTGTGTCAATGCGCAAACGCCCCAGCGCCAAGACAACCGATGGTGTCCTGCCCGTCAAGCGCCAGCGCACCGATTGGGTCTCTCACAAGGAACTCGCTCGGCTCAAGAAGGTGGCCGATGGTCAGCATGAAAGTACTCTCCTGCTGAAGGATGCATCATACGATATCTGGGATGCCCCTGTCGAAGAAAAGAAGAACCAGGAATTCATCCCCCCCAAGGTTGAAGCGAAGGTGCCCAAGTCGATGAAGCAAAAGCCCATTTCACTTGTTGCGAGCGGTAAGGAGGTGCCCGCGGTGCAGAGGCCGACTGGTGGCTACAGCTACAACCCTCTGTTTTCCGAGTACGAGGAAAGGTATACGGCGGAGAGCAACAAAGCAGTCGATACCGAAACCAAACGACTTGCTGATGAAGAGACTGAGCGCCTCAAGCAAGAAGCTACCGCGCGGTCTGCCGCCGAGGCCGAAGCCGCCGAAGCGCGTGCAAACCTGTCAGAATGGGAGGAAGACTCAGAGTGGGAGGGCTTCCAGAGTGGTGTTGAAGATAACGCTGCCTCCGCAAAACGCCCTCAACGGAAGACTCAGGCTCAACGGAACAGAATCAAGCGCAGAAAGGAGGACGAACGCCTAGCCAAGCACAAGGCCAATATGAAAGCTAGGCGCGTACAGGAACAACGGATCAAGGAAATCGCCGAGGAAGTCCACGACAGGGAAAGCGCCAGAGCTCTCATTCTTCAAGAAAAGGAGCAAGGCTCAGACTCTGGTGAGAGCGAGATCAACGACCAGAAACTCAGAAGGAAACAGATTGGAAAGTTCAAACTCCCAGAGAAGGACCTAGAATTGGTGCTCCCAGACGAGTTGCAGGACTCCCTGAGATTATTAAAACC